CCCCCCTTTTTAAACCGGCCGGGGCAGCCGGCGAGGCCGTGCTGGGCCCCGCGGAGGGTTTGTGGCAAACACCAGCCTCGATTCCCACCCCCAGAAAGGGCTGGCAGGAAGTAACATCTTCCTGACCGAGGGGCTGAATGTTTACCCGCCTGGCACCCAACTCCCCCGTGGCGGGTGCAGCCCAGAGCAGGGGCAAGCAGGCCCAGTAGAAATCCACTCCCTGAGGAGGAAATCCACCTCCAGCACCCTCCCGACTCGGCCGGCTGGTTCACCAGCCTCGATTCCCACCCCCAGAAAGGGCTGGCAGGAAGTAACATCTTCCTGACCGAGGGGCTGAATGTTTACCCGCCTGGCACCCAACTCCCCCGTGGCGGGTGCAGCCCAGAGCAGGGGCAAGCAGGCCCAGTAGAAATCCACTCCCTGAGGAGGAAATCCACCTCCAGCACCCTCCCGACTCGGCCGGCTGGTTATTCAACACAGCTAGCAAAGGCCTTGGAGAAAATGAAACCAGCTGCCCAAGTCCGGCACAGATGGCGGAGCCCTCACAGCACAAAGGGCACTGCTGGTTCCCGCGCCGCCTCCAGGTCTTGGGCCCAGCAGAGGTCACGCGCTGGGTCTCTGGATTTCCGCCGTTGGCGCAGGACTCGGTTCAGGAGACGCCCGTGGAGGGACAGAGGCTTTTTCCTGCCTCCCGGACAGATGCTTCAGTGCACTCGCTCAAGGATGTGGGTGCTACATTAAAAGCCTGGAGCAGGCGTGTCCCTCCGCCAACAAGAAACTGAATGGCCTCTCCAGGCCCGAGTTACCGCCTCGGGCGAGGCAGCAGCAGTGCAGGCAGGCTCAGGAGCTACCCACCACGTCCCAGTGCCCCGTGGCAGGCAGACGTTTTGAACAGCTGGCCGAGGGTTCCATGTGGTTTCCACCAGCCACTCCGTACCGGTTCAGCCGCCAGCCTGGCCACCGTGCATGGCCAGGATTGCCACAGAGCGATGGGCCTTAGAAGTCTTAGCGAGAGGCCTCATGATTCCCTTCCTCACCTTTCCTCCAACCTACCCCCGCCCCTCTTCAGGGACCCTCCCGAGTCTCTGCTCCAGATGGGCAATAGTGCGTGCGCCAGCGTGCTGGAGGGGCTTTTACTCCAGATACTTTCTCAGGCTATGTCTACACTACACTGACCTATCGGGAAAGGTTCCCAAAACGCACCCCGCACTTTGCGCACCTTTTTCCCATCGTTTTGTCGGAAGAGTCTTTTCTGAATTTGGCCCGTCTACACTGGGCCAAATTGGGGAAAAAACCCTCTTTTGGAAGAGCCCTTTTTCCTCGTGGGGCTGCTCTCCTGCAAAAGAAAAGTGGAAGAGCAGACACGTTCCCTGGACGCGACGGAGTTTTTCCGGGATCCTGCTGGTATCCCAGAAAACCCCGGCGTGTGGACATAGCCCCTCTCCAGAAAGCTCCGGGGCTGGAGACCCACCCTGGACCTGCGCAGGCAGAACAAGGACTTAGAAAGGCAACGAGGCAGCTTGGGAGCCCCGGCAAAGACCATCCCGGCCCCGGAGAAAGGAAACTGGAGCTCGTCCCTCGCCTGCAGGCTGTTCTCTCCACGTGGCAGTTCGGCCTTCGCGCTGACAGGGCCGCGGGTTATTCTAGGTCCTGCCCTTCGGCCTCTCCTCAGCGCCGAGTTTTCTCCAAGGCCCTGGCTGTGGCCGTGGCCCATCCAAGAAAATCAGGGGTAGGAATTTCCCCTTTGCTGGGCGACTCCCTGCTCGTAGCTCCCGCGGAGCCAGAGGCCAGGCGAGGGCCACGGCAGAACCCAGCCATTCCCACTGCACATGCGCCTCGCGCCTCACCCACCCAGGAGCTGGAGCCAGGCTGGAGCGCGGCGCGCAGCCCGACCGCCAGTACTAAGGGTCCACGCCTTGGCCACGGGCTGCCCCGTGACGCCTGCCAGCCAGCGCCTGCCGCTGCTCCGCCGCGTGTCTGCCAGCACAGACCTCGTCCCTCGCGCCAGGCTGCACGTGCAGGCGCGGCCTCTCATGGGCTTCCGGCCCCACGCTCACCCTTCGCGCCCTGCAGACAAGGCCAGGGAACCCCTGGAGCCCCCTTCCGACAGAACCCACGGTCACTGCCCTAGAGGGCTGGGCGCACGCGCCAGCGGCTCCAGCAATGGGAGACCCCCCCAGCCCTGCGCACCCATCACGGGCCCGATGGGAGACCCCCCCAGCCCTGC